AGTTATTTCATTAACTTCCAAATTGTCACTGTTCACCAACTGCAAAGACAGTTCCGTTCCAGTCATCTTCTCAATATTGTACCAATACTGTCCGTTAATTCTAACAGGAAAATTCAAAGCCTGCTGCGAAGACCACTGGCTTCAAAAAATTCAATACAAACACGAGACAGACTCGAAGGGGGCAGGGGAATGGCGAAGAGAGACCGCAAACGGTAATTTTATTTCAATTATTTTACGTTCTTCGTTCTTTTCTGTTTATCGACCACATCACACGTGATTTATGGAAATCCCATTTTAGTGAGGGGAAAAAAGGGCGGGGGGGGGGGGGGGGTTGTAGCAGTCTCCATTAATTTAACACTCACCCAAACTCACCTATAATATGGGGTTTCTATAAATTAAGGGTGGTTTGGTCGCTAAAGAGAAAGAACCACGTTCTTGTTGCTATGCTCACCTCCCTACTCTTAAAAATTTCTTACAGCCAGTGATCGCACATTCACTGAAATCAGGCACTACTGGCTTGCGTGCCCATCACTTTCATATGTGGTTGTATTTTACGATCGCCTCTTCAAATTCACTTTCAGCGGCTCCGCTGTCCTCGCCTCGCTGGGCAGATCGATAGGCACGCCAGTGTCCGTCCAAATATCGGCACAAAAATGGGCGCACGAGTGTGTAGTCCATGTATTTGTTTGTTCGGATATTTGCATTCGTTGCTATTTGAGACGTTTTGAAATGGGATGCCCTCAAGTTGGTTTCGTCGGCTCTGTGGCAAAGTCGATGCGAACGCTTCGTAATGCCGGGTTCGGTCCCATCTGCGGGCAATCCGCCTTGCGTTGGTTTCGACAATGGCAAACTACTGGACGTAAATTTGCCTAGAAAAATCACACAACAGCCAGGGGCTGTTGGGGTTGGTTTCCGGACCCCACTGTGAAGGGTGGGCGTGAGAGAGGGATGGGGGGGGGGGCGAGAATAGACCCAATGTCTGTTAACAAGCATGTCGTAAGAGTCGACTCCTGGAACTCATACGACGAAGAAATGTAGCTCTGTTAAGCACATTAGACCCGATTTTAACTAACTCTTAATCAGACGCCTTTTACGACATGCTTGTTAAGCTGTGGTCTCTCCCCTTTCCATCTTGACCCTGGAAACGAGGACAAGTAACCACAGCATCTCCTGTACCTCCCACCTCCACTACCAACATCACCACTTTACGAGAGCCAAATATTATGTACATTTCATATTTTATATCGATCCCAATCCGTAGAATAAAACGAGCATTTACGTCACGGCCCCCTGATAGCGCAGGAATACATACCATTTCTCAGATATCCTTGATTGTATCGATTTCCATTTTAATGTGGTATGATATATCTTCTTAGTTTCAACTTATTTTTCATGTCAGCAGATGTGGGAACTGCAGCTGCGTTTGCACATCTAACCTTAATTTATCGACACGTACAGATATAGTTTAAAAAAAAATAGAAACTGGATCGGCACTCACAGAAAAAAGAATAAAGACAAGGGCATACTAGGCACTAGACAACATCAAAATAATAAAGCCATAGAAAGCCATAGCTACCACATTACAACAACTACAACAATAACTATTAGTACTACTACTACTACTACTACTACTACTACTACTACTACTACTACTATTACTACTACTACTACTACTACTACTACTACTACTACTACTACTATTGCTGCTGCCACTACTACTCCTGCTGATGTTTCTGCTGTTGCTGCTGCTACTACTGCTATTATCACTACTAATACTACTTACTGTTACTACTACTGCTGTTGCTACTTCTACTACTGTTGCTACTTCTACTACTGTTGCTACTACTACTGCTGTTGCTACTTCTACTACTGTTGCTACTTCTACTACTGTTGCTACTTCTACTACTGTTGCTACTTCTACTACTGTTGCTACTTCTACTACTGTTGCTACTTCCACTATCAATATTTCTTCTTCCCTTTCCTCAACACAATAGTAATCTACTTTTTCATTATCATCAGGTGCCTCGCTAAAGCCAGCACCGGTGCTGTTGACTCTCTGATTTTCTCTGTCACTTGATACCCTGATACAGTTTTTGTTTTCTGTTTCACCTGCTAGCTAGCTATACAACTCCCTCCACAAACACAGTTGTACCTTGGTATGTGTGCTTAACCCGCTTCAGATCCTTGGACTTATTCCAAACAGGACAAATTCTCATCATCATCATCATCATCGTCATCATCATCAAGTGCCTTGCCGAAAGATGTGGGCGATCCTGCCTTTCTGCAATTTGCGATTTTAAACAGCGTGTATAAGTTGCTGACAACCCTCGTTGCCATGACCACAAGTTGTCCAGAATCTTCTTCCGTTGTCTTCCCCTGTTGACTCATAAAGTTCTAGCGCGCCAGTCGTATTCCAAGCAAAGGTTGTATACTGAGCACGCTTTGTCGCGTCTTAACAGGACGTATATCAAGTTAAACTTATTAGAAAGCGGACGTAAACTATGTTGGATGTATACCACAGCGGACGTATATCGAGGCACCACTGTATCTTTATATCCAGGGACCCCAAAACCTTAGAGCCTGCCACATCGCCTCCGCCCCCTCGTCTTAAGGGGAACCTCACCCTTGATTTTCCGGTAGAAATTTTGTAAAACAAGTTATACACATTTTTTTAAATATTTTAAATATATAAGTATATGTCATTACGCATATATTACGCACCTTAACAAGACTTAGCCTGCCCCTTCAGAAAATGTATGGGGCTGAAGCGCCCTTCACAACCCTCCCTCCCCCCACCCCTCCCTCAATGTTTTCTTTGTTTATTATTATTATGATTATTATTATTAATTTCTAAAGCCTTTTGCCCCCCCCCCCCCCCCCCCCCGGGCCACCTTCTCCCACTTTTCCAGAAAATGTTAGGGGGCTGAACACTTCCAGTGTTTTCTCTGTGTGGTCGCCCCTGACTTCATTGACATGCTAGCCTGCAGAAGGCAACCTACAACATCTCTCAAACCAACCATTACCATTAAGCGAGCCGGCCAACTTAACGCCCGTGCACTCCAAGTGAGAGAGACAGATTGAAAGAAACGAGACAAAAACCAGCGTGCGAGTGAGAGACTCCATCCTAAAACTGGTTTTTCGACAGCACAAGCAGACACAGGTCTGTCTTGTAGAGTTCGTCGGCTCTGTGGCTAAGTCGACGCGAACACTTCGTAATGCCGGGGTGCCAGGTTCGATCCCAGCTGCGGGCCATGTGCCTTGCGTTGGTTTCGACAGTGGTATCAAGAAAGCCGCCCCGTCCAGAAAGCACTGACAAACTACTCCACGCAAATTTGCCTAGAGAAACCACACAACAGCCAGGAGCGGCTAGGGTTGATTCTGCAACCTCCTAAAGACGGATCGGATCGTCTTTTGGTTGTGTCTTTCTGTCATATAATCCCAAGATTTTCTCCCACGTCGGCCTGTGTCTCTAGCACCCTCAGTTATCCTGTTGCTACCGGTGGCTGTTGAAACAAATTATTTACAACAGGTGTTAGCATTGTTCAGTCAGTGCCTTTGCGAGTATTTTATATGACCCGAAAGGCCTAAGAATTAGTTATTTATTTACAATAATAATAATAATAATGCCGTAAATATAAAATGAAAGTTATTTTATTTTATTTAATAACCCATCTCGGGGACTCGAGATTTCGTGGGAAGTCTCGGGAAAGTCCAATATTATGGGCGGGGGTGGGGGAGGGTGTTATTGATAGTCAGTCTTTATTTCACACCCTAACACCTATATACCTTTGGACTTTTCCGAGTATTCCCCGCAAAATCATGGAGGCTTTCTGAGGCAAATCCTGTTATTTTCTTGAGTGCCAGTGGAAACTTGGTTAGTTCTTTGACTTGTCACAAAGATCTAAGTTCGTTTCCCACCGCTGAAGGAGTAATGAATGGTTCAGTACCGGTGTGTGGTGGCAGCCGCCTTTGTGTAGCGACAAGACCTTCGCCCGCGGATGCCAATAGTTAACGTCCTGACGGAGCTAGTCATTGATAAAAAATTACCTTGCCCTCCAACCTTTAAAAGGTAGCTGGTAAAGTGATGGGAAGTAAAGGCGGTCATTGTTATGTTCACCACATCATTGACCAAATACCGATTGGTCTAGAAAGTAAGGTCTAGCCCTATATGCCCGTTTTGCCTGAAGTCACAGAGAAGCGTCCTTGACTTTCTAACAGGTGATGGGTCAGATGTGGTTTACTTTAGTTTGAGTTTATTTTGGTTTGTAAAATGATCACTTTAATTAAACTCCCATAGATCACACACATCAGTCCCCTCCCATAGATCACACACATCAGTCCCCTCCCATAGATCACACACATCATTCCCTCCCATAGATCACACACATCAGTCCCCTCCCATAGATCACACACATCAGTCCCCTCCCATAGATCACACCACATTAAGGCCCCAACACCCAGCAACAGTTGGATGACAAGCCAGCATGGCTAATTTCAGATAAGGCATGACGGACATATAATGGTTCATCTGTTCGCCCGAAGGGACTGGGGCGTTTTAAGTAACTGGGGTTTCTTAACTCAACACTAAAACAAGGGCTACTAGGGGTATTGGCACATTCCTCTGCTAATTTGCGGTTCAGTTCCCCCGAAGGGAGTGTAACAATCATGTCTCCTCTAAATGCCCTTCTTAATTCAGATGGCGAATAATTCGCCTGGATGGATTTCCATAAAAACATTCTCACGCGTAAACACGATCGCTTCACTGAGTCCTTTATACATATTTACGTGTCAATCTAATAAGGAGTATTAATATGTCCATTCAAATTACAGGCATTAATGTGCGTTTTAATTAACTTATTAACATTAATGTGTATTTTTACGAACATTTCACGGGAATACAAGTGGAAGATAAATGTTTTCGCTCTGCACCAACTAGCTAGGCTAGCCTGAAATACCTGGACTTGTATTTCTGCTGGCAATACTGCTAAAACGATCTAGCCATGGCCGAAGGAGCTTCTATAAACAGTGGTGGAGGGGGCGATACTAGAGGGAGCCACCAGCCACCGACCCCTGACCCTCGTTTACCCTTGACCGCCATGCAAATATTCAAGCTGAAGAAAAACTGGAAGGGAGTCAAACGGCGCCTGGATGACACTGGGGTCGAGATGTTGATAAGGTAGGTCTTCAGTTCCATGCTTCTACTTACTTCGTTCCTAGCTGGTTGGTATGTCAGTAGTCTTTGGTATATTATAGGGGCGCCGGGAGATCTTGTGAGTTTAGTCTAAACGTTGTCTGAATATCCACGGTTGGAATGTCACCGACTATCTCATCACGTGGAAAAGTTTATTTGCGAAATTTTGACAGCAATAAAAAAAAAGTTTACAGTAGAAGTCTTTTTCGTGAGTTGACTGAGGGTCTATGCTACACTTGGAGAAAAAAGAAGATGATGATGACGATGAAGAAAAAGAAGATGGTGAAAAAAGAAGAGAAGAAGAAGAAGAAGAAGAAGAAGAAGAAGAAGAAGAAGAAGAAGAAGAAGAGATGAAGAAGAAAAGAAGAATAAGAAAAGGAAAAAGAAGAAGAAAAAGAAGAAGAATAAAAATGAGAAATCGAAGAAGAAGAAGCATAACGAAAAAAAGAATAGAGGACGAAAAAAAAAACTGAAGTCTCTTTTGTTAATTCATCGTGTTATGTTGTCCAAGCTTTGATAGCTATAAGTCGAGAATTTGATCTATCACAGCACCTTTCAAATTACTGCTATCAGTCATGCCCGGACATTTATTTCGACAATAGTCTTGCAAAAAAATGTAATTTTGGGGCCCCTACTGCAGGTATCGGCATCGTGGCACGCTCAAGGTAGCTCACAAGACGATTTATAATCAATTTTTTATCCTAAATAAGTATAATTTATTAGGGAAAGTGATAAACTGTCGGCCTAGTAGTGTCGCCGTCGTGTTGTTGAGTGACCAGGGGACGTACATTCATTAGCCAACTGCGTCCCTGCATCTGTTTAATTATCTTCATTGTGAGCATCCCACAGCCATGCAGTTCTGCAGCACAGGGAAAAACACAATGATCCGGGGTATCGGCTGTCAAAACGGAGCGGTTCTGATAAATCATGTATAAAGACACAATACAGCTTGCCATTTTGTACACTCATAGTCAAGTAAAATAGGTTAGCAAAAGTGGCACCTGCATCTGATGCTAGACACATGTACAGACACATCCTCACTCGGTGAGTGGATGGGGTCAACATCACGCCGGCCACATTTGCTTCCCAGTATTTTACCTCATACATATTTTAGACAGCGCCGAATGGCACAGCAAGAAGATACGGTTAGTGAGTTGTTAGAAGACAATGACAGTGATGGATAAATGTCACTGGTACATCATCATCATCATCATTGCCGACTGGCGTGGATGATCATGACTGTCCACAGTCTGCCGTCTTCAACAACGTGTATCCGTTTTTGTGCCGACACCCTTCTATGCCATGACAAAATATTTTAATGGATCGTCTCATGTTGTCTTCTCGTGTCTCTTGTCTTTCCAGTGGTCACAACATGCTCCATTTTCCATCTTTTCTTGAAATGACCAAAAAAAATTTCGTTTGTTTGTGATAATATTTCTTCGAATCCTCGCCTCTTTAAAATATCTGAGTTGCTCTCTTTTGGCTGCCAAGGAATTCTACGGATTCTTCTGTAATCTCATTCTTCCCAGGCCTGTTTATTAATTGTCCGGGATTCACAGCCGTATATTAAAACTGGCTGTATAAAGAATTCTTTTTCTAACATCTAGTGACATAGATTTATTCTATAAAATGTTCTCCATTTTACAAAAAAAAAGTAGTTTTATTACAAGTGTACTAATCACAAACGACGCAAGTAAAGCCCAACGTGTAGTCTTTGAAGGCAAACCTGGATTCCACACATCTTACCGCTTGACGATATGTACATCATCATCATCATGTAGCAGGTCCTTTGCAGAACGTCGCTCTCATCACAGTCTGCCTGAAAGAAACTCGGTCTCTCGCCAGATCTCCCGCCTCATGAACTTTCACACTCAAGGAGTCACTTATATCCTGTGCCCATCTTCGTGTCGGTCGGCCCCTGCCCCTCCTTCCTGGTACCATGCCTTCTGCTATAATTTTTTCCAATCCGGACGGTATGAACAGAAAATGGAAATCGTCCAGCTTGCGCTAGACAAAACATAAATACACATATTTTCCACCTGTCTTTACTTCCACGCATTTATGGCTTCCACCCAAGGGTTTTGTCTAGAATTGGCTGGTCTGTCTGTTTATTTGCGAATCTATCATCCATCAGTCTATCAGCTGGTCACCCTGTCTCTCTAGTCACATGTCTGTCTGTCTGTCTGTCTGTGAATTATTATTTATGTATCTATCTATCTATCTATCTATCTATCTATCTATCTATCTATCTATCTATCTATCTATCTATCTATCTATCTATCTATCTATCTATCTATCTATCTATCTATCTATCTATCTATCTATCTATCTATCTATCTATCTGTCTGTCTGTCTGTCTGTCTGTCTGTCTGTCTGTCTGTCTGTCTGTCTGTCTGTCTGTCTGTCTGTCTGTCTGTCTGTCTGTCTGTCTGTCTGTCTGTCTGTCTGTCTGTCTGTCTGTCTGTCTGTCTGTCTGTCTACCTATCTAATCTATCTACCTATCTATCTATCTATCTATCTATCTATCTATCTATCTATCTATCTATCTATCTATCTATCTATCTATCTATCTATCTATCTATCTATCTATCTATCTATCTATCTATCTATCTATCTATCTATCTATCTATCTCTCTCTCTCTCTCTCTCTCTCTCTCTCTCTCTCTCTCTCTCTGTCGGTCGGTCGGTCGGTCGGTCGGTCGGTCGGTCGGTCGGTCGGTCGGTCGGTCGGTCGGTCGGTCGGTCGGTCGGTCGGTCGGTCGGTCGGTCGGTCGGTCGGTCGGTCGGTCGGTCGGTCGGTCGGTCGGTCGGTCGGTCGGTCGGTCGGTCGGTCGGTCGGTCGGTCGGTCGGTCGGTCGGTCTGTCCGACACTGTGTGTGTGTGTGCGCGCGCCTGACTACCTATCCCTCTACCAGTCCCTTCACCAACCATTGACCCACCTGTGTTATGTCTGTGTATCTCCCTACCTTCCCCAGTCAAACTGTTTCAAACAACAGCTGTCTGTGGTGGTAAAAGTACACACTATTCATGTCTCATCTTGTAGCCCCGCACCCGAAACACACACACATAGGCGCACACACGCACACGTAAACATACACACACACAGATAGAGGGAGAAAGAGAGAGAGAGAATCTGTATGTGTGACGTTATCTCGCTTGAAAACCCACCCAACCCCTGGCTTTGGCAACTGTTGACACATAATTGCAATCTGCATCTAACATTGATAGTGTGTATGAGCGTGTATGTGTGCACGCGCGTGCCTGTTTGTGTGTGTGTATACTGCTTACCGCGAGCGGTTCATCTAGTCAGATCATATGGTTACGATACAAGGGTTTGGTCTGATTATCTTTAGTTGCAGCTGTACACTCCTATGTTGGCGGGAGGTTATGAGAAAATACACCGTCCTCATTTGTAACAAAATGCCTTTGATCTATATCACTTACCTGAATTGGAAAACAAGGAGAGTTTCAGTGCAGACTAGTCGGTAGTTTTGTTGTTAGATCATCCCTTAACTGTGTCTGCTGTGTTTCTCCTTGTCTGCTCTAATCTGTCTGTCTGTCAGCTCTCTCTCTCTCTCTCTCTCTCTCTCTCTCTCTCTCTCTCTCTCTCTCTCTCTCTTTCTTGCTCTCTCTCTCTCTCTCTCCCTCTCTCTCTGTGTGTGTGTGTGTGTACTGTTTCTCTGCCTGCTCTCTCTGTCTATCTCTCTTTCCCCTTTCCCTCTCCCCACCCCTTTCTTCCCCGACCCCCTCTCCCTCACGCGTTTCCCTCCCTTTATTTCCGTCACTCTCATTTTCTCTACCACACCATCTCTTCTGAACTTTTATCTCGCTACCTACCTGTATGTCTTGTTTATCTGTCTATCTCTTGGAAGTTGTTGAGGGAGAGGTAGACGGAAAATGTGTCAGATGAAGACAACTTTACACGTTGCCTAAACAACACCAAATGATAGACTGGAAGAGGCTGGGACGAGTGCAAACTAAGATGCAGGATGCAAAAACACATTAAACATGTGTTTTGTCAAATGTAATGTGTACTGACGCCTCGTGTTTGGTGTAGAAGCCTGGGGAGTAAGCAAGCAATTAGACTGTCGAGTTGAGGCACGTGTACAGATAGAAAAACATATTCAGAAGTATAGGTAGTTTCATAGACAGAACAGTTCAGTATTTTTCAAACCTGTCTGACCAGAACCCCTCCCTCCCCCCCCCCCCCATTTTTTTTACCAGCTCCTGTTTGCAAAGAACAAATTGCTCAGCACCTCTCCCGTGAAATATCATCATCAAGTGTCAAGTAGACCAGCATAGGCGGTCAAGATTCGCCAGCTGATTATATTTCATAACAATTCTTGCAAGGTGATGTAGTTATTTATACAGACAGTTCTCTTTTGAGACGCAGAGATGCACACTGGTTCATTGCAAAAGCGAATGGACTTCAATTGCTGCAGCAAAACCCATCATACCACAACATCCAATGTGAGAATGGAGGTAGAAGCAGTCACATCAGTTTTCCTCTAACTTGAGAATCAACAGCAATCAAATGTGATATAACATACTCACAAATTATGCTAAGAAAGGCAGAGACATGCTCAGTGCCGAGTTTTAGGCATCGTTTCAGAGGTTCCTGGTACTTAATTTCTTTCGGATCTTCTCTCCTGAGTATACTGGTGTGTTGGAAAACGAAGAGCCAGACAGACTCGCTGGTGATGACCAAGACCATGTGCAAGCAAGTGGCCAATGCAGAGGCAGGAGTAGATGATTATGGCCAGGAGAAAATTGTTCAGCGGAGAGTGACCATGGCTTCTGGCCGATACTGGACTCCCAGAGGAAAGACAAGAAGGCCATAAATGGAACTGCTAATGGCACCATTGACATTGGATCTCTCAGCTGTCTGCTGGAGGTGGATGGGTCTCTCAGCTGTCTGCTAAAGGTGGAGATGAGAGCTTAGGGACGGGTCCTAGTGTAGGGTTTTCATTTCTCAACTGAACTGA